AAGATAGGAAATGAATATGCATTCTTTCACTCAACCAACATTTATAGAGTGAGTGATATGCCCAGAAAACAGATTTTCTTGTTAACATTTTGCCTATGAAGAAATGAAGATTCCAAGATAACAAATGAAGAAAAGTTCACACAGCTAGCAAGCAGCAAAGCCAAGATTCCATGCCATCTCTGTTTGATCTGTGTCCTGGGCCATTCTGCATCTTGTCTTCTGAGAAAGTGTAAGATGGTATCCCTCAACCAGTGGGATGTGTGGACAGATGGACCTTAGAACTATCCAGCTTGCCCCCGCCTGGGGGTAGAAATAGCCCCTGATGGCTATCTTGTGACCTCATTCTAGGGGCCTCCCACCTCTTTCTGGGGATCACTTGACTATGAGTAGGAACCTCTCCATCACCAGACCTCTCCACAGGACAGGACAGGGCCTCCCAACATCCTCTGCCCAGGAGCTCTGCTGGTCCCTTGTGTTCTCAGCCCCGCCTGGAGCAAGGACAGACAGGGAAGCAAGGCTATTTGGAGCCTGAGAGGTACACACAGGCCCTGTCTAGGGGTGAAGATGGGTACCCTGCTGTCAAGAGCCACCATTCTTTAGGGGAGATGCAACCCTTCTCCCTAGAGAGCTTCCAGGATGATAAAGTGATAGAAGATAATGCTATTTCTGCTCTCAGGAAGCTCCTAGTCTGATGGGGAGAGAGGAGCAGGAGAAAGTAAATTCAATAACAATAACAGACCCAATGCTTATTGAGTACCCAGCATCTTGTAAGTATGATCTCATTTAATGTATACAATAAGACTATGGGACAGGTCCTATTTTTATCCTTATTAAACAGATAAATGGATAAATGGAAGCAGAGAGAGATGAAGTCATTTACACAAGATCACAAACCTAGGAAGTGTTAATATTAGGATTAAAACCCAGGCAGTATGGTTCAAGGGTCTCTCGAGTAAAAGAGGGAGACACAGGGAGGCCCTGAGAAGTGCTGGATAGTCAACAGGTGCTCTGATGTCTGGTGCACTCTAGTTCTCTTGATCTGGGAAGGCTGCCTGGGGAGTGTGGTGTCCCTCTCGATTGCCCAAACTAACTGACTGTGGAATAACATACAGACCTTGGGCTGTCCTTTGACAGAAGACAAAGCTAAGTCTCTATGCCTAGCTTTAAAATTTCCTGGCCATCTAATCTTCCTGAGCTCTGGGCCTTCCTTCACCTGCCAGTGGCAACAGTGGACACCACCATACGGAGTTGTAGTGAAAAGTAAATGAGGTGCAGTTTCTGTAGCTCTGAACATGGGGCCTTACTTTTCCTTAGCTCAATAAGTAATGGCACGTGCAGAGGAGGAGGTTTCCGGGCCAATGTACCACTGCTCCCAGCACAGAGGAGGTGAGCCAAGCAGGCACCAGCAGCACCCCCCCTCCCCAAGGTAAACAAGCCTCAAAACCAGACTTCCAGTTCACCTACAGCAACCCTAAAGGGAAACGAGATGGAACACTCTGATAATCAACCACCTGTACTCCCTGAACTTGCAACAAAAGAGGATCTGGAAAAAATGAAATCAGAAATAATTTCTCAGATAACAGCAGAGATTGTGCCCATAGTGCAAGACATTATTAATAAATCTAGAGCTGGGCCAGGGATTTAGCTCAGTGGTTCCACTGCCTGCCTCGAAAGCGCAAGGTCCTGAGTTCAATCCCTGGTACCAAAAACAAAAACAAGAAAAATAATAAATCTAGAGAGGAGCTGAGGAACATGATGGAATCCCAACATAGGAAACAAATGGAATCCATAAAACAGATGCAAACAGATTTCCAGGAGATTAAAAACTCCATTGAAAGTCTACGCAGCAGAATGAGCCAATGTGAGGACAGAATTTCAGATATAGAAGATAAGATTGCAATTAGTGACCAGGAAAAGAAAAATTGTTTTAAAATTTTAAGGGACCACAAGAAATCAATCCAGCAGCTGCTAGACAATGCAAAGAAGAATAACATAAGACTGATCAAGGGCCAGGGATTTAGCTCAGCAGTTTCGCCGCCTGCTGCGCAAGCGCAAGGACCCGAGTTCGATCTCCGGTACCAAAAAAAAAAAACTGATCGGAGTCAATGAAGAAACAGGAGAGAGTGCAGACGACATAAAAAAAACTGTTCACAGAAGTAATGGCAGAAAACTTCCCAAGCAGGGGAAAAGAACTTGACATACAGATGAGTGAGGCATATGGGACTCCAACTAGCCTTGATCAAAAAAAAAAATCTACACAATAGGTAATGACCCTTGGGTTATACAGAAGTTTAATTTCTAAATATTGAGGTATTTTCCTGAAATTTATTAATTATTGATTTCCAATTGCATTCCATTGTAGTCAGAACACATGCTCTTTAGTGTCAATATTTTAAAATTTATTCAGACCTGTTTTAAGGCCCAGCAGATGATCTTAGGGAATGATCCATGTGCACTTGAAAAAAATGAGTATTCTGTCATTGTTGGGTGGAATAGTCTGCAAATATAAATTAACAAAATCAATTGATAGAATTAAGTCTTCTAGTTCCACATTGACTTAATCTATTTGTTCCACAAATTACTAGCATCCATGAATTATTTGTTCCATGAATGACATGAATATCAGAGAGGAGATTAAAGTCTTTAAAATTTTGGATTTGTCTATATCTCCTAGTTTTATCATTTTTTGTTTCATGGATTTTAAAGGTCTATTAGATATAGGATTAACATGATAAATTGACCTCTTTATCATTATGTAATGTGCTTCATTATTCATAGTAATATTCTTCATTCTGAAATCTACTTTTTCTGATATTAATAAAGCCATTCCAGATTTCTTAAAATTAATGTTTATATCATAAATACTTTCCATCCTTTCACTCTCAATCTATCTGATTTTTTAAGTGTCAAGTTAGTCTCTTGTAGACAGCTTATAATTGAATCTATAAAATCTAGTCTATTTATATTTAATATAGTGACATAATACATATCTATATGGTGGGTTTAAATCTATTATCTTGCAAATTTGTCCCACCATCTCTTTGTTCTTTTTTTGACTCTTTTCTTCTTCTAGATTAACTATTTTTAAATATTCCAATTTATCATAATATGGGCTTATTAGCTATATTCTATTTTTTTTAGTATTTCCTCTTATATTCACAATACACATCTTTAACTTATCACAGCCTCTCCTCAAATATTATACCTATATATAAATAATGTGAGAAACTTACAGACCTATACTTCTATTTCCCACCTCCCATTCTTTGTCCTATTGTGGTCATACATTTTTTTCTGTCTATAATATAGACCAAAAATGCATTGTTATTATTTTTGTTTTAAATAGGCAACTGTCTTTTTTAAAAATTTAAAATGAGAGAAGCAGTTTTTCATATTCATCCATATGTTTTACACTTTTAGTGTTTTTCCAATCCTTTAGATACATGTAAGTTTCCATCTTGTATCACTTTTCTTCTTCCTAAAAAACTTCCTTTAACATTTCTTGTAATAAAGATCAGATGGTGATGAATCTTGCCAGTTTTTCTTTGTCAGAAAAAAAGTTTTTATTTCACTTTCATTCTTGAAAGCTATTTTCATTGCATACAGAATCATTAATTGACAGGTTTTCATTTCTTTCAGCACTTTAAAGATGTTGTCCTATTGTCTTCTGACCTTTATAGTTTCTGATGAGAAATCAGAAGGAATTTCTTATCTTTGTTCCTCTCTACATAATATTCATCTTTTTTGAGGGGGGCTGCTTTAATTGTTTTTTCCTTATCACTAGTTTTCAGTAATTTGATTATGGTATGTTTTGGTGTAATTTTCTTTGTGTTTATCCTTTTGGGGGCTTAATGAATGATTTAGATCCATGAATTTATACTTTCCATCAAATTTGGAAAATTTGTAAACATTATTTCTTCCAATATTTTCCTGATCCTTTCTGCCTTTTGGGGACTTAAATTACAATTATGTTAGTGTGGGATTATCCTACAGAACACTAGAGCTCTTTTTGGTTTAGTTTTTTTTCCCCCTCTGTGTTTAATTTGGGAGTTTATATTACTTTGTGTTTATATTCAACAAACATTTTCTTCCACAGTGTCTAACCCATTATTAATATGTTTGTGTCCCCTCAGAATTCAGACATTGACCTAATGGGACTAGCATCCTTAGAAGAAATGACACTAGAGCACTTGAGATCTCTCTCTCTCTCTCCCTCCTTCCCTCCCTCCCTGCCTCCCTCCACGCTCACATACCTGTGACCAAGAAGATAGCCATCTTCAGGCCAGGAAGAGACCCAGAATGTGGCCATGCTGTTACTCTGTTCTCAAACTTTCTGTTCTCAAACCTCCAGCCTACAGAACTGTGAGGAAATAAGTGTCTGCAGTTTAAACAATTTAATCTATGGTATTTTGTTATGGCAGCCCAAGCAGACTAATACATACTGCAATCTAGTGAAATTTTGATTCCATGTTATATGTTCCATTTATCTCTTCATTATTTCATGTTATTCTTTAAAACTTTGAACATGGGGCCAGGGATTTAGCTCAATGGTTCCAGCGCTGGCCTCTAAAGCACAAGGTCCCGAGTTCGATCCCCGGTACCAAAAAAAAAAAAATTTTGAACATGCTTATAATAGCATCTTAACATGATGCTGATGTTAATTCTATCACCTATCATTTCTGGATTTATTATAATTAACTGATTTTTCCTCCTGATTATAGGACACATTTTCCTCCTGCTTCCTTGTTATCTACTAATTTTTGATGGGAGGACTGTCATTGTTAATTTACATAACTGAGTGTTAGATTTTATTGTAACCCTGTAAAGAGTATTGGATTTTTGTTTTTGCAGGCAGTTAAATTAATTTTGTGCTTTTGAGGTTTTGAGGTTTGTTTTCAACTTTTTCTTTTGGTTTTTTTTCTTTCTTTTTGATTTGGATTTATTTATTTTTTGGTAATACTGGGGATCAAACCCAGGGCCTCAGGCCTGCTTGACAAGTGCTCTATCACTGAATTATATGTCCAACCCTATTTTTAAACTTTTAAAGGCATATCTAGAGTAATCTTTATTTTATCACTAAGTTGTGACCCTATTGTGACCTCTATTAAATGTCTCAGGTCTTCACAGAGGCCTCTTACCCAGGCTAATGGGAACTGAAAAAAATTCCTAACCCTATGAGCCTAGGAATTACTGAGATGAATTGTGGAATCTGTTGAATGATTGGATGTAAGTGGATAAGAGATGAAGAGAAATCACTGGATGGATCATGGCATCATTCAACAATAAAAGAAATTCTGGGAAGGAGGAGAGCAAGAAATGACTCCATGTCAAACATATTTCATTTTAGGAGGCTGCAAGACATGTTAGTGGAGATATTGACCAAAACCTTGGATATGTGACTTGCAATTCAGGGAAGAGATCAAAGCCAGAGCATAGAATTCAGAGTAATCAATAAATAACAATAAATAACAGCTAAACTCACGCAACAGTTGAAACCTAAATGAGAGAATGAGATGTCATGGGAGATTATAAAACATGACTAACAATGGAAAATCCTCTCAAACATGGGTAGAGGGGGCACTCGTGAAGAGAAAGAAGAGAAGGTAGAAAAAGAAAAAAGAGAAGGTAAATGGTGAGAAAACCAGAGAAGAGCCAGGAGATGGAGGCATCATGGAAACTAAGGGAGCAGAATTTCAAGGAGGCCATGGTCAACACTGCCAGATGATCCAGACCAATGCCATAAGATTAAAATGGAGAATGTCTCCCAGAGTTAGTACCTGCTGAGGGTCTCTAGTAGTCTTGGAGGTAGGAAGCAGGTTTGGTGACCCAGGGAAAGTGGAAGTCAATGAGAAGACAAATGGAGGTAAGGACGTGGGAAAAATGTGTCAACTCCCCTTTCTAGAAAGGAAGGTTAGTGACACAAAGATTAGTAATGGAGCCATAGCCAAGGGAGCTGCATGGAAAAGAGAGACATTTTTTTCTGGATAGGAGAGAATTTGGCATGTTTATGGGCTCAGAGGAAAGGCCAGCAAGAAGGACAATGGAATAAAGTCCTCGGAAGAGAAAATAGGAATGAGACCCATAGCACTGGGAGAGTTCTCCGAGTCTGCAGTTAACAGGGGGCAAAGTTACTTACCACTGGCAGAAAAGACATTATTCCCAGTTCTATTCCCATGTTAAAGGCAGGAAAAAGAAGCCCAGAGGAAATGCCTCAAAACAATAAAGTTCGGGGCTTGGTGGAAGAGCTCCTACCCCAATTCCTGACCACCTGACTTTCTGTCTCAGAAGATTCCCATTGTATCAGGGTTGACCACTCCTACAGAAACCTAGGAAAGTTGGATGTCTGCGTTCCAGAGAAGGGAATGCAAGGGAAGGTCTCAGGGCACATTCTGGGAAGGGGTGGCTGTCAGGAGAGGGATTGGGGAAGAGAGAGCAAAGCCAGGAGGAAAGCAAAGACATCTCCACCCAGGCAGCAGCTGCTCCCAAATATGTCACAACTTGTCAAAGAGGCAGAAATAGAAGCAGTCCAGGGAGTGGAAGGGGGTGGAGTGGCATGCTATGCTTTCTGAACCCACAGAGAGGGTGGGCAGGGGATGACAGGGAAGCGAGGGGGACAGGTGAGATGACCGAGTCCAGAGGCGAGGCAGTTCTAGACGGGCTGAAATGGGTGCAGAGAACCATCTGGTTGCCTTTCAGTGAGGTTGAGTATGGGGCAGAAGTGACAATGGGACAAAACGTCTCAGGAAAACCTGCCCTCTCTGATCTTACTGTCTATTCTCCAAGCCAGGGCTAAGCCTGGTTCAAACAGCCCTCAAAACAGGCCACCAGCTAGAGGTGTGGCTCACTGGTACAGCACTTTCCTAACATGCATAAGGCCTTTGATCCCCCAACCCCGAAAAAAAACCCCACCTCAAAACAGTCCTCCTACCTCAGCCCTATAAGTTCATCCTCCAGACCCATATACTAAGTCATAAATAAAGGGGCCATTTGGATCTTCAACCCAGCATCCTAGTTTACAGATGAGCAAACTGAGAACCAGAGAGGAGACACCGCAGCAACATGCCCTGACTCCTTCTCCTGGTTCCTTCTTCCACTTTCCCTTAGTTTCCTGGCAGTATTTGTCCTAACCAGAAGCTGAAGCCCACGAGGACCTGGTATACTCATAATCCTCACCCATATTTCCCCACTGGACCCAAATACACAGGGTCATATGCCCTGTGCTGGTTCTTGGTTTTTTTTTTTCTTTGTACCAGGGATCGAACTCAGGTCCTTGCGCTTGCACAGCAGGCGGCGAAACCACTGAGTTAAATCCCTGGCCCTGTGCTGGTTATTTTTACAAAACAGCTCTCTGCTTTCCCCACCAATCCCCTCTCCTTGACCCCCACACTCCTCCAACCCAAACTCTTCCACCTCCAGGCCCCACATTCCCCCATCCCAGAGCCTGAGATTCTTGAGGATGATCCCAGCTCTGAGTTCCAGATTCCAGACAGGGATGGGATTTCCCAGTGGTTACTTGATGCTCAGTCTCCAATGGAAACAATATGGCCCAGAGGCCTGAGCCGCCTCCCTCTTCCCCGCCTCTCAGTCCTGGTCCCACCTGCCTCCAAATCTCTCCTCCTGTCCCAGCGCTCAGGCTCCTCCTGGCCCCTCCTATGTCTCCTTTTCCTCTCTCCATCACCACTTCTCGGGCTGTCTCCTTGAACTTGTCATTAAAACTCTCGGTCCCCTGCCTGTCTGCCTGTCTGTGGCCCCACACCCACCTGGAAAGCAAGTGGCCACCTGCTATACCCTTTGTCACCTGCTGGTCTCAGAAAGGGACAGAGGGCACCTGGGTTCATCCCCAAGGCCTAAGCTCAGGCTGCCCAAGAGCAGATGCCCTTCCCAGTTCTGACACTTCACTGAATCCTTGAGAAAGTCATGTCCCTTCCTGGGCCTCTTTCCCATGTGTAGGAGGAAGGTGGACTAACTGATCCTAGACTGCCTTGCAGCTCTATTCTCACCCTGCTGCAAAACTACTGCCTCAAAAATAGTCAAGGCTGGTTTGCATGTCATCTATGGTTTATGCATCTATGTCCTATTGAAATGCACAGCCAACCCCCATCTAATCCTCAGCAGTAATACTGGAACTCAGCCCAGGAAAACAAAAGGTGGATCCTGTTTTAAAAAGCCAGAGGATTCCTCCCTTCCAGACCCTCTTGTTCCTAAGCATGGAGACTGCAGAATGGGAATCTTGCTTTGATTTTAGCCAAGCTACCTGGCAGCCCAGGTTAGCCCACCTACAAGGTCTGCAAGGACTACAAGAAGCTGGATGTCAGACAGCTGTGACTGGGTGTGCAGCAGAAAGGGAAGGAGGGAGTCAGCAGCAGGTGAAGGGGGTTTCTGAAATCCAATGCTACCATGCAAATGAGATCAGCCCAACATACAAATAGACTCAAGTTGAGATGGGAGGGGGCATCAGCCTGGCCCTGAAGCCCCAACGGGGCACGAGGGCTTCCTCTAGAAGGAGCAGGACTACTGGAGGAGGAGGCTAGAGTCCGGCAGGGGCCCCTGTGTGCCCAGGCAGCAGGGGTGGGGATTAGGGCCGGACGCCCTGCTGTCAGGTTGGAGCTGATGGATCGCCGCTGGTGGCGGAGCACAAAGGCTGTTCTGTGCTTGGCACCAATGTGTTCCCATCCATCAGAGGGCAGCCTGTGGGGGCGGAGAGGGAGGAAGCCCAAGGCCCCTCAACAAGGCTCCTCCACAGCTTGGCTGAGAGCAGAACAAGGTGGGTGAAGAGACAATTCCCCCATCAGGGTTTTACATCGCCCACGGTGTCAGTCCTGAGAGTGTCTGTCCCCACGGTGGGCCTTGACATGGCCCCTGGGCCACCTTACTCAGACATTCACAAGCACACTACAAACAGATCCACAGAGACCCAGGCGCCCGGGTCACCCTAACCTGCCAGTCCTGCCTTTGTGTCAGGTCAGAGGCAACCATCAGGCAGACTCAAGGCCACACCCACACCCAGCTCAGCTTCCGGCAGACAGGGCTGTGTCTATTCACTGCTCTTCCCTGGGTCTGGTTCCTGCCAGGGGGCCAAAGCAGAGTAGGTCCTCAGTAACCAGGTGTTGAGCACAGGCAGAGCAATGCATCAGTTCCCTCTCTGGACTAGGCTCTTTCCGCAGCTGACTCTGTTACCTAAAACTTCCTACCCTGAGTAGGTGATTTTGTGTCCCCGCTCCCTCACTCAGCTGTGAGCACACAGACGGCAGAAAGACTGCGGCCTCTTTGCATCAGCGACCTGGACACCTGGCACACACATGATAATACACATTTCTTGACTGAGAATAAGTGAATATCCACCTATGAAGGGTTTTCCCTCCCGTGGTCCCCTGGAGGCAATGGGACAGCCTGGTGGAGGGGGGTTGAAGGGTGGTGGCTCAAGAGTGGAGGAGAGGACGCAGCAAGAAGTGGGCCTCATATTTACTGGGTGTTTCCGTATGCCAGGTGCCCTTTCACTTACTACAACCCCCCACACACACACACACACATCATCTTTTGGCAGCCTGAAACATGCATCCTTTCCCAGTCCAATCCACCCCTGCCTCTGAAACCTTCATCTGACTCCTAGATTACTCTCATGGGGTCCATGTGGCCACTGTGCCTCAGTTTCCAAGCCCCTCCAAGCCCCACCGGGATTGCTCCTATCTTTTCAGCCCTGTCTCCAAGGCTAATCAAATTACACCCTGAGCTCTGGACAAACTGGTCTACCCAGTGCCCCTTCCCCTCCTCTCTTCTTCTTGTCCCAACCTTACCCCTTCTCTGAGACTGGCCCAGCGTGTTCCTCCTCAAGCCCTCCACAGAGGGCTCCAGCCTTCAGTGGTTCTGCCGTTCTAACTAACTCCTAAGACACACTTGACAAACCCACTAATTTGCAAGTGCTTACAGTCCCCTTGCTTACTGCAGAACTAACATGGCATCCCCTGGCCTTGTGTAACCACGAACGCAAGGTTCTGTGTCCCAGCCGGTCTAGTCGACAGCAAGGTCTTGGGAGCCAGCACAGAACAAGCCTGTTCTGCCTCCATTTTAGGGAAAGAAGACACACTGTCTAGGGGTTACTCTGACTGCATCCCAAAAGGATGAAAGATGTCATTTCCAGGTTGCCATAGTAGCTCTGACATCACTCAGGGCTTGTGGGATTAGAGTGTAAACCAAGGCAAGGTTATTTGCTTTTTTTTCTTTTGCGGGTGGAGAAGTGTATTGGAAATAAAGAGTTGTCTTCAGCCCAGCTGGTCCAGGTCTGATCCGGGTTTAAAAGCCACAGTTCCATTCTATACTTTCCAGCACCCTGGTAAAGCCCAGATCCAAATTAAGACCTCACGGCAGCCCCCAGATTGCTTGAGGTTACTGTCCAGTTACAACCTCTCCTAGCCCCTGCTCTACCCAAAAAGGATACCTGCATTTTCCTGGCTCCTTACTGTGGAGGAGGGGAGGAGGGAAAGCCAATCCTTCAAATTCCATGCAGATCTCAGCTCCCCTGTGAAATAGGTCCTCCCTGAGCCTTCCTCACGAGTCTATTTCTTCTTCTTGGCCTTGCAACAGTTTTAACTTAATGGTCTCCTCTCTTACAGGAACAGGGCTAGCAGAATGGATTAGACCTAGTCTACAGGGCCCTAGATTGTTTTTTTAAGGCTGAGACACAAGACTACAGGGATGCTGTTCAAAGCCCAGGATTTCTGAAGCTGGGCGTCGGTGGAACAAACTATCTTCTGAGGTCAGCAGAAGCTGGACAATGGCAACCTGGAAAGGGGATCTGGGCATCAGGGCGGGTCCAACAAGGTGACCATCGTGGTGTGCAAGATAGGAAACGGAGGGTGGGGATCGTGCCTCCGGCATTCCTAAAATGCCCAGCCCTGACTGAATGCCATCCCCTGCTGAGAGCTGAAGCCTGCCCACTACTTTGGGAGGAATTGGTCCTTTCAGGCCCTGAGGCCTCCACCAAGATGTGACCATGGATTGAGCCACCTGAAGGTTAAATAGTTCCACCTCCACCTGACATATGAGAGCTGCATGATGAGGGTAACAGGTGACTCAGTCAGGAAGGGGCAGAGGAACTAGCCAGGTGGTCCCAAAAAGGGAAGGTGCACCCTGAGTTTGAAGGTCCCTGTGTCCTGTCCTTTCCTGCTCCCACCCATTGTGAGGAGTCTGGAAGATTCCTGCCCAAACAGGGCAGGAAACAGAGTAGAGGAGACAACACAGGATGGCAGGTTAATTCGTGAGAGGGAGGAGACAGGGGGCTTAACAGTACTTGACCTTGCCACTGGGGAAGGTGGCAATGTGTGGACTGTACACCCGATCTCTACTCTGACCCTGACCAACTGTATTAAAGAGAAAACTCCCCCCGGCCTCTAAGTTTTAAAAATCCTCTAAAAGAATACATAGATCAAAGCTGCTTTGGAAAGCCAGAAGTCAAATCCATTTGTGACTCTGTATTTTAGTCCTTCTTAGCCCCGGGGACCCACACACGCCCCACTTCTGAAGCAATCCCATTCTTTGGAGAGTGAAGTCTCTCGGGCTGATACAGTGTGGTTAAGGTGCTGTCAGGAAGCGAGGAGACAGAGTGACTCTTAGGGCCCCTTCCAGACGAAGCCGACCCCTTCCATGTTCCCTCCTCCCCTGTACCTACCCTGTGCTGTGGGACTAGCAAGGAAGCAGCAGGCTTTTGCCGGCCTGGCCAGGAGTTATTGAAAGGAGCAGATGAGAGAGGGAATGTGTCCTCCTCCACCTCCCCTGCCCCACAGGAGCTGTCCAGAAATGAAAACTAATCAAATTACACACGACGGCTTCCCGACCCGTGCACGGGAGCCACCCCGGCAGGGGCAGGCTGGCTGGGTGGGGTGGGGGCACTGGGGAGAGGGAAGGGGAATCACATCTAATCCACTGTAAACGTCTTGATGTGCAGCAACAGCTTAGAGGGGGGCTCAGGTTTCTGTGGCGTTGGCTATATTTATCTCTGGTTCCATGCCAGCAGAGAGGGTTTAAATGGCACCCAGCAGTTGGCGTGAGGGGCTGCAGGAGCTTGAGGGCCAGTGGCAGGAACAAGTCTTTTCCGACTCCATGGAGCTGTATGAGACATCCCCCTACTTCTACCAGGAGCCCCGCTTCTATGACGGGGAAAACTACCTGCCTGTCCACCTCCAGGGCTTTGAGCCACCCGGCTATGAGCGGACTGAGCTCGGCCTGAGCCCCGAGACCCGAGGGCCCCTAGAAGATAAGGGCCTGGGGACCCCCGAGCACTGTCCAGGCCAGTGCCTGCCGTGGGCGTGTAAGGTGTGTAAAAGGAAGTCAGTGTCCGTGGACCGGCGGAGGGCGGCCACACTGAGGGAGAAGCGCAGGCTCAAGAAGGTGAACGAGGCCTTTGAGGCCCTGAAGAGGAGCACCCTGCTCAACCCCAACCAGCGGCTGCCCAAGGTGGAGATCCTGCGCAGCGCCATCCAGTACATCGAGCGCCTGCAGGCCCTGCTCAGCTCCCTCAACCAGGAGGAGCGCGACCTGCGCTACGGAGGCGGGGGTGGGCCGCAGCCTGCGGTAAGTGAAGGGTTTGGGAGCTGCCAGCCAGGCCCGTGGGGGTCTGCAGGACCCCTTCCTTTGTCAAAGCTGGCCCTCCTGGTGACCACCTGTCTCCCCATGCTCTTTCCAGATAAGGGCAGAGGGCAGGAGCCAGCGATGGGGGTGGGGCTGGCACAGGACTAGTCCAGGTGCAAGTCCCCAGCCTGGGCGAGAGTGAGGGCTGATCTCCATGGCGGCTACAGCCTAAAGGGCCAAGCCAAGTACCTGCCAAAAACACCCCCCTCCCGCCCCCAGCCTGGGTGTGGCTAGCAGACCAAACCCATCCAGTCTCATTAGAACCCCACTAGGCCTGGGCCACTCTGCTTAGTCACCCTTATCCCCGGGGTCCGGAAAGCCAGCGACCCCTCTAAGCTGATACTCTGTGAAGGGAGAACCACCATCTAGGATGGAAGCCAGGAAGGCCTGGAAGCAGGGTCCGTGGTGTGAACATTCCAGGTGGGGGGCGCCCTGGGCTGTAGGGCCCCCGCCTGTGGCCCACATTCCAAGCCCAGTGCAGCTCTGTGGGCTCCGGCAAGGCAGAGACACATCCAGCAATGGTTGGGCCCTGACCTTGGGCCTTGGCCCTTCTGCAGGTGCCCAGTGAATGCAGTTCCCACAGCGCCTCCTGCAGTCCAGAGTGGGGCAGCGCACTGGAGTTCAGCCCCAACCCCAGCGGTGAGTGAAGCCTGACCCTGATTTGATCCCTCCATCCTTTCCTAGGCCGGGTTTTCCCCATACCTTAAAAACTTGCTCCACGATTCTTCCTGGGGCTTCTCTAGGGGCCTGCTGTCCCATGGCCCCAGCTGGGGGGGGGCTGGGAGGCCCTGTGCCTTCCTGCGGCCTGGACTAGCTAAGGAGGGGTCATGGCCTCTTGCAGCAACCCAGCTGGTGCCTGGTGCCTGACCTTCTCAGCAGAGAGGAGCCTGTCCCTGCCCCCGCCGGGGTCCCTGGGAATTGCTGACTTAGTGCTGCCAAACTGGGCCCAGCAAAGGACAGTTCTGGTCTCCAGAGACACACTATCCTGGCTGCACCTTGGAATCACTGCTAACAAATCCAAACTCCACTAGGGAAGTCCAGAGGTGGCATGCACATGAGCACATACCCATATGTGTCACCCATACAAGCACACACACATACACACACGCATGCACACACAGGATGGGAAAGGCGGGGAGTAGGGAGCAGAATTCCTGAGTTTTGCTCACCCATCTGTCCCGGAAATCCTGCATCACCCCAAGGGTCTCAGCCACCCTTTTCTCCCCACCTTCTCCTTCCAGATCATCTGCTGGCTTCTGACCCTACCGATGCCCACAATCTGCACTCCCTCACCTCCATCGTGGACAGCATCACAGTGGAGGATGTATCTGTGGCCTTCCCAGACGAAACTATCCCTAACTGAGATGGTCTGCCAGGCTGGGTGTTTTCGTGAGCCCCTGAGCTGGCCACAGATGCCACCACTTCTGTGGCAGGGGCCTCCTCCAGTTAGGCTCTCTTGATGCCAGGAAGATAACCCTTGGCTGCCATAGGCCAGATTGTCCCCCTCCTCGTCCATTTAAGTTTAACGCACTGCTCAGCACAGGAATGGGTGCCTTCATTTAGCTGACTCCTTAAAGCAGAGGCATCCCCTTTCCAAGGAGATAAAGGAGGGCCAGAGCGACCCCTTGTGGATGCCCCCCTCCCCAGGGGGCAAACTCAGGAGTTTCCTTTTTATCACAATGTAGCCTCTAACGCCAACCTCTAAATGAAACCGTTTGAGAGACAAAGACAGTGTCCTTACCTGGATAAGCGCACACATCTGTTCTGGTCTCTCCCTGATGCCAGTGGCTGGGCTGGGCCTGCCCTGAGTTGAGAGAAAAGAAAGGGAGAGAAACGATCCTCTGTCCCCAAGACCCTGGAGGCCAAGCCTTTGCAGTTCATATTGGGAACCTTCCAGTGGTTTTTTATGTTTTGTTTTGTTTTGTTTTGTGTGTTGTTTGTAAAGCTGCCATCTGACCAAGGTCTCTTGTGCTGAAGATGCAAGGGACAGGCAGGGGGAAAGGGGGTGGGTCTTGGGGTGATTTCTTTTGTTAACTAAGCATTGTGTGGTTTTGCCATTATTTTGTATTTTTTTGCTAACTTATTTGGATTTCCTTTTTTAAAAAATGAATAAAGACTGGTTGCTAGAAGAGTGTCTGAGATGATGACGGTTAGAATGAATGACAGCCCCGACCCGTCCCACTTGAAGGTCCAGACACACTGCAGGTGCCGGGCTTCCAAGAATTCCAAAGGTTGGCATGGGTGGGCTCCAAAAGTATCAAGGCATCATCTTGGGACAGTGACCAGGCACCGGGGAGCCCCGCTCTTTTGACCATTACAGTGGAGTCAAAGTGGGTCTGACACATTACGTGGATGTGACCAGGTTCCACAGGAATCTGACAGGACAGAGGAAAGCCTGCTGCGTGCCCCACCGCACACTAATTCACACTGCTCACAATCTGCTGCATTCCAACCTATCGCCCACAGGCCCCTTGGCCTCCAATTCACTGAGCATGGCTGCATGCCCTGTGCTCGGCCCACTCCCGGGGCCAGGGGTGTAGAGCTGGATTTATGGGGGTCTTCTCCCTAATTGCTGGCTTTCTCCTGGTTCCACATTACAAGGAGACCTGCAGAGAGGTGGGAAGTGATTAAATCAGAATGGGGTCAGACAGTGTCACTTTCTCACAGACCAAATGGCACGTTCCCTCTCCATTCTCTTCCTTCCCCCGCGGAAGAGGGAAGTTCTCGTCCCTGCCTACCACCCAGAGATGAAGGAGTCCCTGCTGGGGGAGATGGTGGGGCTTCTCATCAAAGAGAAGCTGGGGTTCTCAACATTTGGGATGCTGATTTCAGACTGACTTCCTAAGGGGAGAAGGTTGGTGAGGAATTAAGAACAATGACTTTGGGTGGAAGTTACATAAGGGTTAACCAGAGAGGTAACAGGAAATAGAATTGGAATGGGCCAAGAACACTTACTAAAAAACTTTATTAATTCTAACTGCTTGGGGCTAAATTTGTGTAACTTATTGCAAACTGTAAGTTTCAGAATCATTACAGAAGAATTAGAATCCAGAACATGGTACACATTCCATCCCTCATTCTGTTCTTTGGGGGCCTTGACAACTGACTTAACTTTTGCCCATCAGGAACTAGTGACTATACTATACTTGCTCTGGGGTACCTCTCTACACTGCCCTCTGGACCTTGCTCCTGCAGCTGTTAACACCTTGTCCCAAGTCCTTCGGAAAGTCTGCCTGAAGAAGAGAATAAGAAGGGAACCTCAGCAGTATATCATAGAGCCTGGGTGAAGTTACAGAAGGTTGGGTCTCCCCAGGACCTGCTTCCCCCAAGTAATAGTCGGGGCTAGGCCTACTGGGAATCACAAATTGGTCAACTTTGTCCTGACTTGTTGGATCTTATTTTTGAGTTTGCATCAGTAAGTTCACAATCTTCCCCTCTTAGATAGGCTGGAGAGGAATACCAAGGTCATGGCTATGACTCTTAACCTTAACTCACTGCCCTTGGGGTAAGGAAGGCAACAGAGTTGGTTACCATGTCTCACTTCGAGAGTCTACACTCACTCCCTTTTTACCCACTGAAAATACTGAATCACACATTCAAGGAATCTCCCTGTAGATTCACCTCCTCCGCCCCTGGCCCTTCCCAAGTTCAGAGGATGGATACAACCTCACTGCTTTACTTCTGACTTACCTGTCCCTTGTCCTCCTTCTTACTGAGGGCTAGGCCTGGCCAAGAAGGGCATCAACAATGCTAAGGAGCTGACAGGCTCTGAGGCTGCTGGATCTACTTTTCAAGTCCACTCCCCTGTGGTTATGATGGCAGTGAGAAACTGGGGTTCACATTCACACCTAGGAAAGAATGACAGTCCTTAGCAATAGCTACTAGAGTCAACAGGTCCCAGCCACTGTCAGGTGTCATTGTCACCCACTTACTGTGTCATAAGTTCCAGAGGAGAAACAATTTGCTGCAGATTACACAGGTGTGAATGGCAAACTTCAACCAAACAGGAGCCCAGTTTCTCATTATTTTCACAGAATAAACAACTTTTATCAAAGCGTGGGGACTTTCTTAAATTAACAAATCCTTAACCTTCACAATAGAATTACAGGTAAGACTCCAGTTAATGAATAATGAGGTGGAGTTCTTTAGGAAAATGAGGTTAAATGCCTTCTTCAGTAGAAGCACCTACAATAAATCAAACTGGGTCAATCAAATGTTGCCTAAAATGGACTTTAGGGAATCTGCTAGAATGAAAAGAATTACTTAAAATTGGCATACCAATTGTTATGTGAAAATAGGAACTTCTTAGGATGTTTAGATAATTAGTGTGACTTGTAGGATGTTTGAAGTACTATTTGTGCACTCTAATAAAGGTTCTGAAGTATCTAACTTCTCCAGGTAATTTATTCGGCTGTTTGGAAAACCCAGGCTGCCAGTGTAGTAGGTGGTTAGAGCAACCGGAGAAGGAGGAGTCCTCTCGACTCTGGCATGTTTCACCAATAAATGCCATCTCCAGCATGTTGTATCCCTTGGACTTCTCTGAATTCCTGACTTCTGGGCTCCGGGCCATGATGTAGAAGCCCCAAGGTGAGCTGGGGCTCAAGATGAAGACTGGAAGACTCCACGTTCAGCTGCAGTCTTAGCCAAGAGAATTCAGTCCTGACCTGAGAGGGAAGCCCATACCATCCCCTCTCGGCAAGTCTGGCTGGGCCTCATCCGTGTTCTCCCTCAGCCACAGGTGACCACCCAGACTCCCTGCCTCTCGCTCTGACTAGGACATTCCTGGGCGGGGGGGGGGGGGATTCCAGGGCTCCAGGAAAGAAACCTACATTCATTTTTCCTTTTCCACTGATGCTGAAGGGAACATGATGCTGAGGTCTCATCTCAAGCTCAGAATGTCCATCAAACACACATTTCGACACAAGCCTGCTCCTTCTGCCTCGCCACCCTGTGCACGCGACACTGGTAAGTCCTTGTTCTCCTGGAACGCTTCAGGGCACATTCTTGTGCCCTGCTAGTCACCAAGGTCAATGATTCTACCTCACAGAGAGGGTGGAAGGAGATCCCAAAGGCTTGTTAACACCAAGCCAGCACCTTCCCTCACCTCCGCTTGTCCTTCCCAGGCTGTCCAGGTGGTCTTGTCTTGTTTCCCTCCACCACCTGTGCCAGTGGACTCTGCCATCCTTGCTTCACCTGTGTTGGGGGCACTGCTGGCCATGGAGAAGATACAGGACGCATTGTGTATTGTGCTGTGTGAGTGAGGGTTTGCCATTTAGATGAGCAGGACAAACAAGGCACTGTGACAACTTACAGGAGCCAAGGGCCACTCAATGGTTCAGACAAAGCAGCTGGGGAGGGAGCCGCAGAAGGCAAGAGTTCATGTAAAGGAGAAGCAAGTCCGACTCTCAAGCACTCCTGGCACTGGGTCAGGGCTTTTAACATAGACACTCTGGTCAGTTACCTAGAACAAGGCACTGGATACAGGCAGAGTAAGGTTTGAGAACCATTTCAATCTTTTACCAGCTGTGTGTGTTTAGCTTTCTAATTTTCTGCTCCATAAAATGGCAATGCTGACACATCATAGGGTTGTGAGGATCAAATAAGTCACACCATTTAGTGTGTGCTATGATTCGAATCTTTGCATCGCTCCAAAATTCATGTTGAAACTTAATCCCCAATGCAAAAGCACCAACAGACAGGTCATTAGGAAGCGATTAGGTCGAAAGGGCTCCATGCTCATTAATGGGATTAGTACCCTTATAAAAAGTTGAAAGCCCATTTAGCCTTTCATGCTTCTGCTTCTTCCACATGGGAACATCTTGAGAAATGGGCCCTCGCCAGACCCTGAATCTGCTGGTACCCGGGTCTTGGACTTAGCCTCAGAAGAGTGAGCAACACATTTCTGTTATTTAAATTACCCTGTCTAAGGTATTTTGTTATAGCAGCAGGAATAGACTGAGGCAGAATGCTTAGAACGGTGTCTGGCACTGTTCTAAGTAATTGTACTTAGTAATTTTAAACTTTTATTAATTTAACCCTCCTCACAATGCTCTGACATAAGGTGGATCATTCATTCAAGTGTGTACATTTAGGGATGCAGAGATTAATGAGGCGGACCTGAAAGCATCCTCGCAGCCCAGTGTAGGGGACAGACAAGGAGACGCCAGTGAGCACAGGCCATGTGAGTGTGCTGAGAGGCTTGGGAGCTAAGGGCTGCTGGTTAACTAACTGCTGGGGAGAGAGCACACCTCCCAGCTCATGCTGGATATGCTCTTGAAGGTTGGAAGCCACAAAGGCAAGGAAAGAAGTACTGCAGCTGCCTTCTCGCAAGGGGGCTGGATGGACCCACTGTCTCTGAGTTAGGCAGACTCTAGACTGGCAGGAGGAGAGAGGGACAGGAGCCAGGTCATGAAGACTTCTGATGGCCACATGGAGGAGGAGCTACACCCCGATCTATAGGTGATGGGGAGCCGCTGAAGTGTGGACGGTACCGTGGCATGCAGAGGAGGTTCAGCAGCATTAACTGTGGGAACAGTGTAAGGGAGGACGAGCGGAGGAGCCCGGGCGGGGGAGGAGAGATGAAGGAGGAAATCAGTCAGGGCCGGCAGCCAGGCCCCTCACCCGGTCCTCAACTCCCTCGGCACAGGCAGCCAAACACCGTCCTCCCGTCCGGCCTGTGGCTACATAAGGAAACAGTGGCTGCTGACTCCACATTCTCAGAACTCTGATACTTCCTCCCAAGCACAGCAGCCCTTGGGACTGCGAAAGAAGCTGAATGTGTCAGCTAAGCTCAAGTTAAAGCAAGGCAGAAAAAAAGGAACAGAGACCATTTGCATGTTGTCTTAAAACCAGGTTGTTTATTGGTACATACACACCCACACTCACACCCACACGCATCCACACACCTGCTCCTGATCCACTGAGCCAATACAGTACTGAGAAGGGCCCGGCCAGGCATGGAGGCCAGCGAGGAAGGCTTGGGTCACTGTGACTCTCCAAAGAAAAAAATGTATCGGCTATGAGGCAAAGGGTACACCAAGACGACATGGTGCGCGGTTTTCCTGCCTCCATCCGCTCCCTGCAATCCTTCCCAGGGGGCCCTGGATGGACCTGGCTCCCCCAACCTGCTGCCTCATGGCATGGCCAATGGGGGTCAGGGTTGCTGTAGGGAGGACAGGCTGGGGCTGGCCTTCCCCTGTGCCTAGCCCATGGACACTCAATCCCCTGAAGGAGTCGATGGCCTTCTAGTGCTCAGCTCCAACAATCTGAGGAACCTGGGCTTTCTCCATGACTTCAGCATCCATTACTCTGGAATTTGGCTCTTTCTCTCTATCCAGTTGATTTTCCACTTAATAATTCTTCCATCTCCCTCCCCAGTAGCTTGACAGGAAGGGCAGAAAACAAGGAACAAGAGCAAGGCAGGTGGCTGCCTGCTCCAGCCCAGGTGAGAGCCCACCCAGCTACCCCACTGGCGAGCTCTCCTCTACCAGGCAGAGCACAAGGCTCTGAGACACAGCACAGCGCTATCGCTCCTCAGGACAGGGCGATCCGGCCTATTGGCCCACCCCTCCCCCTCCCCCCGCTAGTCCAGCCCTTTCTCAACCCAAATGGATCAGGTCACAAACCAGCTGCTCCAGCCACCTGTAGGATGGCACTCTGCTGGCCCCTCTCCAACAAGCATGCCTGACATTTTCCCTCTCCTCTTCAAGGAAGCCCAAAGTTCCAACCACCTACCACTTTTAGGCACCTTGTTCAATTGGAGGAACGGGTGAGAAAGAGGGATTTCTTGAGAGTAACAGTCCTCCCAATCACCACCTGTATCCTGACAGCCCAGTTCCACCATGCTGCTAGGGAAAGAAATTAAAATGGCGGAAGCTGGGGGACCTCAAGAATTTCTAGAGAAGACAGTCCCTGGACACCACAAGAACCCGTCAAGGACTGGATGATTTGGGGACAAAGAGGAATGACTGCTTTCATCAACCCTGGATTTCCTGAATCAGGGATATGATTCGCTGAAGAGGAAGCTTTATTTTCTTCCTGGCAGGTCAGAGGAAGAAAATTCTAGGCTGCCTGTCTCCCAAACCTGATTTTAGGGTCAATATTCAATCCACTCATAAGGTTTGTTCTTATGCGGCTGGGATTAAGGAAGTGAGGCAGAGGAGGACAGCAGGGGAAGGGATGCTGGTGGCAGAGGCAGCAGCACAGTTAGATCTGTTCAGCCCCTGGGCCGTTCCCCGGGGGCTGGGGCTGGGGCCATTCCCACTGCCCTTTGGCTTCAGGCTACCAGAGGCCACCAGCCCTCCCTCTGGCTCGCCTGTCTACACTTCTCACCGAGCAAGGGCTGAGAGTTTTTGCAAACCCAGTCACCCCTGGCCCAAAGCTCTGGGGTCCATTTCCCTCTGAGTCTTCCTAAACTCATTTAGGAGTCAGCTTAAACCAGGCTCCAAAATGTCTACGTTAGTCCTTCTCCGGGCCTCACCATCCTGAGAGAGAATGTGGTCTCCTGTACCTCTGCAGCCCCAGAGCAAGAAGAGGCAAGATCTGCAAACTGTGGCGGTGGTTTAGAGAACGGGTGATGCTGGAGGTGTCAAAATCAACCTCAGACCATCTGGTACGAGGGCCAGAGTGGACAGGGACGAGAGGCAGCATAACTAAGGCAGGACGGAGTCTGCAGTGCCCCTCTCCTGGAAGGACCATCTCCGTCCTTGGCCTAGGTTTCTGATCCTGGAGGAAGGCAAAGTCCAGACCCGGCTGGGTCCAGAAGAGACAGGGTGGCGTCACCCCCACCCCAGGCTGCCCTTCTCTTTCTCCCGGAGAATCCCAAGCTTGGGCGACCCGGGCGCCTCCGCTACACCGGGAGACCCCATCCAGGAGACTTACAAAGGACGCGCGATGGGAGTCGGGGTAGTGGGATGCCGAAGGGCCGGAGGAGTATATTCTGAGATCCAGGGCAACCAGAAAGCCACAGACGAGACTAGGAGTCGTGGGAGGCAGGGGAACGAGCAGGAGAGGTCAGGGCCGGCTGGGCCTGTGAAACCTGGAGGACACCAGCCCTGCGGGCCGTGGCTAGTCCCGGAAGGCGGAGAGCATGTGTCCGTAGAGATAGTGGGAGTGAGCTAAGAGAGAAGAGACAGACAGGGGAGGAGGAGTCAGTCAGTCCCCAGGCTGCGGGTGGCCGGGCGTCTGCAGCAGGCTCCCAAATGCAAAGCGCCCGGGCAGGGCAGCCGGGCAGGGCTGGCGCGAGCGGAGCGGGGTTGCAGGCCGGCCAGCGACGTCCCAGGGCCTGGCCACTTACCCCGAGCCGGGGACGCACCCCGTGAGACCCGGGACGGGCGGGCGGGCGGGGGTCAGCAGGAGTAGGTCCGAACTGTGGAGGTCTCCAGTCTCTGCGCCCCCGCCGTCCCGGCTGGCAGGAGTCGGCAGCGCGGGAGAACACAGAGCGGCGGGTTAGTGCGCGCACAGCCCGGTCACGGCGCCTGCCCTGCCCGGCAGCGCCCCCGCCCGCAGCGTCAGCGCAGTGCAGCCCGGGCAGCGCGGAGCGCCCTCCGCCCGCCACTCACCTTCCGGCAGGACCTTCTTGGGCGGGGCCGCGGGCGGCTGCAGGGGCCCCAGGGTGGACACGCGGAAGGCGGCCGGCAGGGTCTCGGCCGAGGAGCTGAGCAGGCCGCCGCCGCGGTGGTCCCGCGGCCGGAAGCGCTTCCTCCAGGAGGGTGCGCGCCGGAACACCTTGTCCTCCCCCTGCACCGGGGCAAGCAGAGGGCGGGTTGGAAGGGGCGCTGGCCCCCAGCCCGGGGAGAGGCTGCGGCTCGCGCGTTCTAGGGTACCGTTCCTCCTGCCACTTTGGAAGCAAGCGAGCAAGGTCGCTTCCCCTTTGTACCCCTCGGGTTTTCCCCCTGTAGAATGAATCGGGCTGACATGGATGACTCCCGGAGACAAACTGCCCCTACCTGGGGTCACGAGAGGTCCGCCTGGTCAGATCTGTCATCCAGCAATTAAACTCTGCTTCCCTGCTCACCCTAATCTTCTCAAACAGCTCAGGGTGCCCACTGATCTTTCAAGCTATTCCTCTTCTCAGCCTCCCCACGGGATTGCCCAACAGTTCCCACACAGGCTCTCCTGTCCCTCTAGAGCCTCCGTAAGGCCATCTGCCGGATATGTGTCAGAGTCAGGACATCTGGCTTCCGATCTTGGATCCGCCAAGTTTCTAGCATGTGACCGTAGGGAGCTTTAGTGTCCTCATCTGTGAAATGGGGATCAACATCTGCCCTGTGTATTCTCAGGCTACCTACCCCACGGCGATCAGATGTGACAGTGATGAACCAGGCAGATAACTAGAGACATGCACCTCGAAGGATGTGGTAAGCAGCCTCCATCTACCTCTTCACAGGTCTCTAAATAACTGTCTCTGCCAATAGGCAGGCAAGGCCGCACCCTCCAGGCTGGGGAGGCCTCCCTGTCCCGCCCTTTAGACCCATATCCACTCTGGTTTGTAGCCATGCCTCCTTCCACCACTGTGATCTCATGGGCTCCAGGCTGCAGGGAGAGTGGTACCAGCAGCAACAGGGACACTAACGCCCTCCGGGCCCCATACCCTTGGGTTTGTTGTGTCCTGTGGAGGCCAATTGCTCCAATCAATTCTTAGCACCAAGTACCTCTCTGTGATAGCATACATCCAGTAGCATTTTTACATGGACCTAGGAGATCATTTCATTAGTGTTGCTTTCCCCTTCCCTCCCCTTCCCTTGTCTGCTTACTCCCTCCCTCCCTGCACCCCTTTGTCTTTCTCCCCCTCTCCCTCTCTCTCCCCCTCTCCCTCTCTCCCCCCTCCCTCTCTCTCTCCCTCTCTTTCTCTCTCTCTCCTTCTCTCCCTCTCCATCTCTCCCTCTCTCCCTCTTTCCTCTCCTCCAAGGAGCCAGAACTATGATCTGTGATCTTTTTTGTTCTAACCATTGTATCCTCAGCTCCTGAGTAGTATCTGAGAATACTGCTGACACTCAATAAATATTTGTTAAATGACTGGATGGCAGTTAGCTCCCTACACAAGAGTCCCATTCCTACATTTAGTCAGAGCTTTGTCTTCTCCTTTACCTAGTCCACAGCCCTATCCTTCAGCCCCCTTTCCACCTTCAGCCAACCCTCAGAGTTCGTTTCCGTTCTTCCCTCTGTGCCCTGGCTGGCACATGTTCTTCCTGCTCCTCTCCTTCTCTTGGGTCCTGATCTTTATATAGAGGGAGAACTGGATGAAGCCTTTCAGAGCCATGAGGGGTAACAGAACCAGAACTGGCAGGAAGCCCAGGTGTAAGAAGAGACAGCTCAAGGTATGGATGAAGTGCTAGGTGGCTAGACAAGAGCCCTTCTCCTTAGACCTCAGACTTCCCCCGGTACTGCTCCCCTCACCAATCTCACCTTATTCCTAGGACTTGGCTTCTACTCTAAGCTTCCTGCAAGAAAAAAGTCTTCTCCAGCTGCACCCCCGATGCATCCCAGAAACCCCACTGTGCTGCCCAGTGGTATCACCTACTTAGCTCCATCGCTCCACCCCAAGGCCTGAAGCCTCCCAGGCCAGTCAGCTCCTGGAGCTTCTAGGAGGAGCAGGATCCAGGGAGGGATGAAGGAATCAGAGACAGTCTGCCTCAGACCTGCTCCACCATACACCAGCCCCTGGGCAGCAGTAACATACTTCTTTGAGTTACAGTTTCCTGTAAAATGGGGATAATAACCTGCCCATAAATGACGGTGAGCATAAAGTGAAATGTCTGTCATCATTGTGCCACCATGCCTGGCCCATCCCTGGCACAGGCATTCAAAGAGTATTTGATAAGAATTAACGGAATAATTTTTTTGTATGAGAAAGTACCATGCTAATATATACAGGAGTCATCTGTCCAGAAAGAAAGCTAAGGTCCCAGGCGTGTGGAACTGAGTGGTGGGTGGGTAACCCTAGAGCACTGGGAAAGCTGAGGTCTCTGAGAGTGGGGTCCCCTGGAGGGGTGTTAGGAGATAAATCTCCTTGATTGGAACATATGCATATATGTGTACATACACATATATAATGCACACACACACAATATATATACTTCTCCCACCCCAACTTGAGGGTACCTCTGTAAAGAAAACATACCTCATCAAACTCTTATATTCTTGAGTGTCCTGGCTGTCTACTGAGGCAAAGCGATCATTCTACCAAGGTGGTTTTTAGCCCTGTTAAACCCAACTAAGAAACAATGATCTGACTGAAGATGGAGAAGCTAAAAATAAACAGAGTCCAGGCTCTTTCTTAACTTGCTGGGAGCCAAATCAGCTGAGGCAGACCTGACCACCAAGGGCAAGCAAGGTCAGTGATAGGAAAGTGAGTAGGGAAGAGGCTGGGTAGAGCAGGAGCCGTGTCCTCAGGAAACCAGGGAGCTCAGTAGACATCTCTAAGGGAGCCCTGTGGCTCAGGATGTCAGGGCCGTCCTTAAACTCAAGGGGAAGACCTAACAAAATCAACAGCTAATCTTACTGGGCAGGACGGAGATGTGCTGGGTCGCCCTGAGAAACAAAAACAAAGGTACTATCCCAATGATATGGTCTTGGGGAATAAAACCTTCAATCTTGTGTGGCAGGGAGTGCTGAGCACAGAGCTAGAAGATGCTAGAACATGACATAGAAGAGCTTTCTGCTTTTTACCGGAAAGGAGTTTCATAGAGACTTCTTCACAGCCCACTGCTGCCCAAACACAGCCAGCTAAGCCTGGCCTCCCTTAGGCCAGCCCACCCATCACCAGCCCAGGAAAGCAGAATGTGTGAACTTCAGTAACCCAATCTCTGAGACCCTTGGTTCATAGCCAGGTACTCACATCATCCAGCTTCCGGTCTGTGCCCAAAGCCAACAGGTTACTGAACTCTCTCTCCATCACCTGGCGGGCCTGGAATCCACAGGGTGAAAGAGCAAATTCTGCAGTCAATGACCTTTATAGCTTCTTCCCCGTTTCCCAGGGTCCAAGGGCAGAGGGGGCAGGACTTTGGTGCATTTAGCTCATTTGAAACCATAGCCACCTTCCTGAGGCTATTCCTTCAAACAAACCTCAGTGTCCTATCAGAAGTGAAACTGTTAACCTTAGAAATTAGAAAAAATGTAATTTTTAATTTTTATTTTGGTTTTGGTTTTTTTGGTGGTTTTTTGGTACCTGGGATCAAACTCGGGACCGTACACTTGCAAAGCAGGTGGTGGAACCACTGTGCTAAATCCCTGGCCCCGAATGTAATTTTTTGAAAAGTAGGATCATGGAACAAATGGAGAATAGACTTTACCTATGGTGGGAGCACATGTTTTGTCCATAAGATTAAAATCGTGCCTGCCTGCCTTTTGGTAGTGTGGGGGAAAAGCATGCAGATCATGGACAAACAAAACTTAACTTACTTGGATTAAATAAATATATTTCAAGGGTCTACATCACAAACTTAAATTAGGAAGACCACTCCATCACAGTTATCAGTGGCTGTGAGTGCATAGTGCACAAAAGCTTTCTCCAGGCTTCCCAGAAATTAACTCCTTAAGAACATCGCCAGACACAGGAAATTTCACAACTTTTAGCCATCAAGTATTTTGACCATTTTAAATGAAGGATTCCACATGGGGTCGGATATCACTTCCCCTAATAGCTAAGCTAAATGAACAGGTCAGGAAAATATGAAAGCTGAGAAAGCAACAGAGATGCATCCCTGCTGCAATTTACTAGATTACTGCTATCCACAAAATCTGAGTGCGTTTTGAGATAGGAAGTAAAAGAAAGAGAAAAGCCTATTTCTGGGTGGAAGATCATAACCATGGCATTCTATAAGGATAGTCTTTATCAATATCAGGAACATAACATTATTACAAATAACCTGAAAGGAGAGGCATAATAAATATTCAAGTGTCCAATGCCATTGTACCCTCAGGGTAAGGAAAGGCTAAGTGGACAGGTATCAATTTCAAAATATCCTCTCAGAGCTCTGTAAGGAGCCAGGAGAGTGGCAAATGAGGTGGAAGCTAAAGCAAGCATAGAGAGGGTATTTGGGGGGAAAATCCAAGCTCTTCTTAGAGAAGAAAGGATCTGCACAATCCATTTTGACCAGTTAGAAGAGGTCACTGGTTAGGAGGGGTCCCTAGGGACACACCGGCCCTGTGTGCTGCTGTGATGCCCCAAAGGCCAACATACTCCTCAGAACTACCCTCCCTCAAGCCAAAACGTGTCTACTCCCAGAATAGCCTGTGCAGCGCTGGGGGCTGAGTCTCAAAACCAATTTGACAGCTGCAAACAGTCCAGACAAAAGGGCAGCTAAACCGATCAGGGACAAAGGCAGGTCTATATGAGGAAAGGCTAAAAGAATTAAGACCACTCCGCCTGGAGAGACAAAGGCTCAGGCCCAGGGGCAATATGATCAGAGTTTATGAAATTCGCAGTTTTCACAAAAGGTGAGAACTGGTCAAATACAAGCATCCTTACCAAACTTAATCTATAAGGTGGAAGCAGCTCCCTCCCCAGGGGGAGCCTGATGGGGCATATTTAGGACAAATAAAATCAGGAAGTACTTTACACAACTGTGAATACTTTTAGAATCCCATTACCCACAGGAAGTAGGAAAGGCCAAAAATATAAATAGGTTCAAGAGAATTTCGATATATTCTTGGATGACAGTGCCATAATAATTATGAAATGTAATTTAAGAAGATGTCTAATCTTCGGTGCTGTTGACAGGCAGACAATGCCTTGGTATAGAGAGGCTCCAGGCTGTGCTATCTGGTATATTTAGCTTTCCGAGGCCCAAGGACCCAGGAGTGGATGCCTAGTGGTGCGGACAAAGGAGATCTGGATGTTCTGGCCGGAGAAGCAGGTCGAGGCCAAGGAAGGCAGTCTCAGCTACAACGCAGGGTTGGGAGAAGAGGCAGCCACAGCAGTGTGGGGATGAACACAGGTGATGGACGCATGTGTTCCCTATGGGCTCGGGCTATGCATGGGCTCCACACTTGGAGGGTTGAGAATACTGCAAAGGCCCAGAAAAGCCCCTCAGCACTGACAGATCTCTGGACATGTGAGCAAGAAGGAGACTGCCCGATTAAAGGGCTTCGGACCTGGGTGTTCTGCGTGGGGATCTGGAGGACCAGAGCCAGCGTGTTGTGGTCAAAGTTCTCATCCAGGGCCAGCAGGGCACCATGGACGCCGCTCTCATGCAGGTTGCCCGCGTAGTCCCGAAGCCCAATGGACTGGACCCAGTGGACCATCTGGTCGTTGGTCCAGACCAGCACATCTGGAGGGCAGAGGAAGGAAAGGGGCAGAGAGACAGCAGGTTTGGCCCAGACCCCTCGGGGGCAGAAACAGTCTCGGAGCCACCAGCCTGCTCTGGGGCTCCTGCCCTCCCCCACCTCTCCACCTTGTCTCTGGGAGAACCAGCCCCGCCTGCCTCCATACCCGTCAGCCTGTGGCCTTGGGGTCAGGCCAGCAGACTCCCAGTGCTCTCCCAGCACAGGTCGCCCCTCCCCTTGGAATGGCCTCCCATTCCAAGTCTCTTCTAAAACCTGCCTCTCTTTTCCCTCCAGCCCCGCCAGATCATCAGGGTCCACAAGCACCCTCTCTCAGGGTGCTGACCTGGGGGTTCATCACATTTTCTGGTTGCTGGGGATTTAGAGAGGGTACGACTGTGCCCCGGGCACGGACAGCATCTCTTTCACCAGGCTGGGTCCACATCTCCCCTCTCGGGCCTGGAGTTTCCTGAGGTCCAGAATGCTCTCTCCAGCTTTCCTGCTCCCACACCCGTTCTGAGCAGCCCCCAGGCCTGAGCTGCTTACCCTTGATCTCATGCTGGCTCTCCTCCCTCCTCTTCTCCAGCTCCTTACGGTCGTAATTCAGCCTCTTCAGACACATGATGCCATACTGAAGACTGGTTCTGCAAGCACACAGCCACCAGGGCCATAGCCTCAGCGGGGCCATGTTCTCACCCACCTACGCGCCTGCCCCAGCAGCCCAGCGGGTTCAAACCCACTGCATCCAGCACAAGGGGCATCCAGCCCCTTGTGCCCCTCCTGCCACCAGCTGGGCTGCGCAGGAGCCGAGGTTTCCTCTCTCTGCCGCTCTCCCCCCTCTTCCCCGTCAGCCAGGGTGTGGGACTGAGTGACAGAAGAGAAGTGCTTTGGATGGAACCAATACATCCCTTCTCTCCAGGCGCACAAAGGACAAAGACTCCCATTAGCCACAATTCAAAAAGGAAAAAGCAAGCTACTCCTTTTATATTACCATTCCACCCAGAGACCTCTCAGTGCCCTACGAGATGCTGCATGATGGGTTCCTTACTTATCTGACCCTCGCTGTGGCTATTCTCACCCTCTCTCTCTGTGGCCTTTGTGTCCTGGAACACCGCAGGCTGCCTAGATCCTTGTGCCTCAGGGCCTTTGCACTGGCTGCTCTCCCTGCCCAGAACATTCCTCCCCCACCTGCAACACAGCTAGCTCACTCCTTCCTCTCCTTTAAATTTTTCAAATGTCACTTTCTCAGTCCAGCCCGCTAGTCACCGTGTTCATCAGAGTTAGAATTACATCATCACCATCATTACCCCTGCTCTAATTTTTTCCCTAGAACTTTCTACCTACTCACCCACCTTACAGTTACTGCTCCTCACCAGTTAGAATGTAAGCTGCATGAGGGCAGGGGATTTTGTTTTGTTTGTGATCTTAAACTTGTAGCATATAATACTTTTTTATAAATGTCCAGTGAATTAAATGGAATAATTCACATAAATTACGAAGAGAACTTACTGAGCCGAAGGCCATAGTAAGCACTGAATAAATAACACTCAAGCCAGCCTGAGGCCACGGACACTGGATTAGAAGGGACTCCAGAGCCATGGGTCTGAGCCACTCCTGACGCCTAACACAGCAGTGCCCCTGCGGCACCCTCCAGAGGAGCGCTGAGCCAGCACCTGTACAGCGCATGACCCCAAGCTGGTCACCTTCCCAAGGCAGCTCGTCCCGCCTTGGAAGACCCGGCGGGCTCTTGCTTATGTGACACCGCTCTGTCCTTCAGCCTTCCCAGGTTTCTCCATCCACAGGGGAACAGGACAGAAGGTCCATCCCACTGCAGCGGCTCTTGACTGTGATCGAGGCTACTGCTTTGTGAGACGCAGTTAGGCCGACTGCTCCCTCCTCTCTCCCCTGTTCTGTCCCCCAAGCCCTTCCGCCTAGGACCTGTCTCCATCAGAGCCCAGAGCCATCACTTCTAGGGATGCTCCTCTGATTTACACCCATGTATCGCTCAAGCTGCTGACTTAAGCCTTGGTCTGACATGAGGGGCACAGGCTGTCTACTCCACCTGCTTGCTGTCATGTCCAGGACAGCTCCTACTACTGCAGAGCTGCTCCACAGCGTAGGTCAGGCTGGCTTCACATGCTGGCTCTGCTGCCTGCAAGCTGAGGGTCACTGACCGTCGGTGAGATGGGTCCTACCTCCCATTCGGGGTGCGGTGTCAATGAGTGAGAGGGCTCGGCCCAGCCCCTGGGGCCTCTCGGGCACTCAGAAATGTGACCGCTACTAGGGTGTCAAACTGGTCACTGTGCATACAGGTCTGATTCAAGCGGGAACTGTGGGGAAACCTGCCCAGCAGACCACCCTGTCCAAGGAAAGCCCTGGGAGCCGGGTGTCAAGAGGTGGGGAGTTGCCCCATTCTGTCACCACCTGGCTGAGTGACCACTGGGCCCCCACTTCTGTTGGATTTGTTTCCTCTGTCTATAAAACAAGCATTTTTACATATCCCTTTCTGTCATAAAAATCATGATCTCTAGGAAGTTTTTGAGTCTTAAGAACACGCTTATGAAATGTCAGGTGGAAGAAAAGCAGGTAAATGCACAGCTGAAGTGAGGTACGTGGGAAATGCTTTAGAAACTCCAAAGCCCTCGAGATGTGGAGCCAGAGCTGGAAGCACGAGGCAGGCTGGGCTTTGCTCCTGGCTCTGGGGAGAGGGGCCGGGGCAGGACTTCCACAGTGCTGGGTGAGGCTGGCTGACATCTTCCAGCAGCCCGGCACATCCCAGCCTGGCGAGGGACCAGCCCTTCTCCCCAGCCCCTATCAATCACCACGCAGGGGACAGGTGCAGCTAGGTCTGGCAACCTCCTGGGCAGAGACAAAGGATTCCCTTTCAGCCCTGATGAGGGGAGGGGAAGAGAGCTCGGAGGGAGGGAGGACACAGGCAAGTCAGCCCTCACAAGTTGTGCTGGGGCGCTAGGGTCGGGAAGGCCGAGAGCTCCAGCACAGGAGTCTCTGCAGGACAGTGGCCTGGAGTCAGCAGCCTTGTGCCACCTGTACTCCGCCATCACCCCCAAGGGACTTGGGCTCATGCTTCCTCCTACGCTCCCGTGAGATGAGGAGGCTAACTACATCCCATGCAGATATGAAGTTCTGTTTTATGAGTCGGAGGACATCAGCCCTGAGGGCACCGTGAAAACCACACACCCTAGCCTCACCCTGTCATTATCCACTCAAGCAACAGACTTGGCTTAAACAGCAGCCCGTGCTACCTGGAGCTGGACGCTACAAAGGAGTCCAGCAGCTGCCAATTCCTGGAACCATCACCACTCACCTCACTCTCCCACTTAAATGCCCAGGGAGGGGACCAGGCAGACGGCTCAGTGCGGGAGGCAGTGCGGGGCCTGGGGGGCCCGGAATAGGGAGCCCCATCCCATGAGGGAGACGCTCTCCACCTGCAGCGGGTTGTTTTCACGCTGGAACGTGCAGGCAGAGCTCTCAGTTTTTCAAGAGAAGCCAGAAATTCAGAGGTTTGTATAAAATCTCCTCCTGCTTAAGTACTGGCAACTAAATTCATGTGAGCCAAAAAAAACATATCTGTGGGCCAAATTCTGCCCATGGGCTGCCAGTTTGGGACCTCCACCACTACACTTTTTTTTTTGTACCGGGGATCGAACTTGGGACCTTGCGCTTGCAAGGCAGGTGGTGGAACCACTGAGCTAAATCCCCAGCCCCAGCACTACACTTTTGAACAGAAAATCTTTTCAACAAAGGGGAAGAGAGGACTGTTGGTCCCTGCACCACAGAATGTGGGTCCAAAGCTGAGGGGCTCCAACCTGCAATGTCAGCAGGAGAAAGGCCTAGACATCCTTTGTCCCACAGCTTAGAAGGCGTGCGTGAAGACACCCGACTAAATGCCACATTCAGTCTGAGTCTTTTCCAGTTAAGCAGGTTTCAGCAGGCCTAGAGACAAGCTAGGAAACTCAGGCCTAGTGGGGGAAATCTGAAAGAAGATGCTGAAGAGAAATGACTTTTTGTCCCAAGGGTTAGAGGTAAGAGATCAACTCCCCAAATTGCAGGATCAGATGAGAATCCAACAAGGGTGCAACTTTCCCAAGAGGGAAACCTGTTACCACCTGGACGCAGCCATGGAAACAGAAGAGAGGCACTTCTGCTCCTGGACACGGACCCCGGCTGCGGGCTCCAGCCCAGCTCACCGATGGAAGCTGTCCACCATCTTCAGGTGGACGCGCAGGTCCTTCTTGGTGAGGTGGTCCAGCATGCGTGCATCCACCAGGCATTCCATGAAGTAGCTTCGGTACTGGGGAAGGCCCAGGCTAGGCAGCCACTCATTCCCAATCCACTCGTGATTCATGTCTCCATAGGCCAGGGTCTGGGGGACCAGAAAGGGGCAGCTGGGTGGGAGGAAGGCAGTGCCACCACATTGTAGCTGGCGTTATCTGCTTGGGAGAAACTTTAACCCATGTTCCACCAAAGGGGGAAGGAAAGTGGTCCAATAAAATTTCAGTTTCTTTTAACTACGGAGCTAGTAGAGTGGGGGATTTTATATCTTTACAGTGCTAAATCCTCAGCTTTCACCTTGATTTATATTCACGGGCCTTTTCAAAAATTTTTATTTTGAGGCAGATTCTAAGTCTCTATCTTGCCTGGGCTGAGCTTGAACTTGTGGTTCTCTTGACTCAGCCTCCCAGAGTGCTGCAATTACAGGCATTCACAACCATGGCCAGCTGAGGTAGGAGATTTTAAATGGAACTTTCCAAGATCTCAAAGTGATCTGGTTCCACTCATGCATCAATTACCCATGCTAATGAACAGGAGCAAGCAAGCATCTAGGCAGCTGAGAATATGAAGCCTTCTTGTTGGCCCTGGAATGCACATGCGGTACTGTGCAGCTCTCCTGCCTCCCCGATTCTCCATGAACCTCAAGCCCACTGGGCCCAGGGGACAGGCTGTGTACCATGGACCTGCAGGGAGCAGAGCGCACCAGCCTCACTGCAGAAAACGGCTGGCCTCACTGTCCCTAGGAATGTTAAACACTGGCCAAAGCCAGGAAAAAAACAAAGGGCAGGTAGCTTGCAGGTAAATAGCCAGTCGGGTTCTCTAAGGCCTGGTCCTCTTATCCAGGAATTCTGTAGCTCCTTTGCTGCCTTCCCAAATCCCGAGCCACCTAGAAGTCACCTCCTGACATTAGCAGGTAGGGGCTCCATGACTGCCGCCTTTTGAAAGCTTTAGTTCTGACAGCGACTCTCCACCATGCTTCCCTTGATGTCTTCACACTGGTAATTCTATTTGGTTGCCCTTTAACACGAAAACGTTGATGTATATAAAGCAATGTGTCACATACATCATTACTGAGCATAAAATGATGTTAGCACTGAAGTTACCAGGACAGCGTTGAAGTTAAAGACCAGGCGCTCTCCACACTCGAACATCCACCTTCGTGCTGTTCTTCCCCCTCCCACTTCCCAGCGCCCCTCCCTGAGGTATCCATCCTGCTCGGCTCTCTGTCTAGCATTCCTCTGCCTTAAAAATCTGTTCACAATTTTTACAATCACTAATGTCTATTTTTCTGAACAATATATTAACTTTGCTTGTTTTGGAATTTTAGTATCAAATTCTTTGAGGCTATCAGGACTTGCATGTTTTAACATGATATTTTGATGCCTCCATTTCTCTGCTAGTGTTTCAGTGTGTGCACGTGCTATGATTGACCAGTCCCAACTCCTGTGGATGGGGTTTCCCTGTGTGTGCAAACCATGCAGCTTCCTGGTTCATTCTTCTATCTGATTCTGTCCCTTTGTTTATTTGTTGATACTGTCCTTTTGATCCTTACAGATATTGTTTGCTGCTCCATGAGTGCTGTACTTGTTCAACCACTTTTGTACCCAGAAAGCTTAGAAAGGCATAACGCATGGTAGATGCTCAGTGAACACGTGTCCACTAAATGATCAGATGAGAGGCCTTTGCTAGTTCCCCAGAGTCCCCCTGAGAGGGAGCGGGAGAGGAAGACTCCTACCAATCTGAGTCTCACTCTCATTCCTGGGAAGACAGTCAACATGCAGAGAAGAGCCAGGCACCTGGCAGGGCACAGCCCTCCAGGGCCCTCACCTGCCACCCTGAGAAACTACAACAAGGAGCTACAGGGGCACTGACATGGAGTTCAGCGGGAGGAGAGAAACTGCATCCAAGCTCCTAGTGTGAAGAGGGACACACGCTGGGACTTGAGGGGCAGGGAGCCTTGGGAAGGACGCTGTCTGACCTTCTGAGAGCTGTCCCGGCAGGGAAGGGGTCTTACCTGAGCCCAGCTGCCCTCCTCACTGTCCTAGCGGGAACAAGTGCCGCGTGTCGGGGAAACAGGCAAAGTCAAGAAACCCAGCAACATCTACCCAGGGCCCCAAAGAAAGGGACAGAAGATGCCCCAGCAGCTCGGTGGGGGACCAGGGAAAGCTGGTTGGGATAGTTCAGAGGAAGCAGAAGGCTGGTGCGTGTACCCTCGTTCGTGGTGAGAGGGGAGCAAATGTGTGTGGCAGAAGCATGCTTCCATGCCTCCCAGGACTGACCGGGAGCCAGGCAAGATGCCAGCCTCTCCCAGTCTTGTTCCTGCGCCAGGGATCAAGCCCCGGGGGAGGAACTTGGAGCTCAGGCCCATAACAGGGCAAAGCCCCCTCTAGCCCAGGGCTCTTCCGCTGCAGTGTGCCAGGGGCATGTGGGAGGCTTGTACCCCTGGAACACACCACACAGACACAAACTGCTCCCAGTCTCACCTCTTTCCCCATGACCCTCCACCTTGAGACCCGGACCCGATCAACATCAGGGACATCAATCTGAGATCTGCTGCAAGCGCCTCAGACTCCCTACAACCTTCCCCTCATCTCACGGGTATCGCCAGTTTGAACCCCAGGTCCAGAGCCAAGGGCCAGACTCACTGTTTTGGTGGATGTTGCCAGAGTCTCCATCTCTTCGTGGGTGACCCAGACATTCCCGGAAGACTGCAGGCACAGAGGAAACCTAGCTGGTCTGGGTGGGGTCCCTAAGATCCCCAGGAGGCCCAGAGCTCGAGGACCAGGACTGCCTTCCCCTGAGTCCTCCCAAATGCCCGGCCCGGAGCCCTGCACACTGGCTAGCTCTGAGCATCTCTTTGACCATTGTATCTACGCTGCTTAACATGGGGCCTGGTGCATAGAAAGCTTTCCGTACACATTTCCTGGATGGATAAGAGTGAATGGTGCTGACCCCAAACACAGATGACCGTGATCACAGAGATGAACAACTGTGAGATTTTAGCTTGTTTAGAGGACAGGATAGAATTCTCTTTTTTTTTGGTACCGGGGATCAAACCCTGGACCTTGCGCTTGCCAAGCAGGTGGCGGCACCACTGAGCTAAATCCCCAGCCCCAGGATAGAATTCTTAAATGTCCTATGCCTCTACCTTTCCGGACCTGGCAAAAACACAGAACCCCAGAATTCCTGTCTGAGAAACTCTAGAGATCCGGAATCGTTGTCAGGCAAAGACGGGGAAATGGAGTCCATGGATGGTACAGAGAAGGCAGCAATCCAGGCCTGTTGGACCCTCCTAGAATCAATGTCACCCACTCCTAAAGACTGGGAAAAGCCGTGCGGGAGGATGGGAAGGGGCAGAGCTGAAGGCTACCATATTCCCCAAGGCCAGTGGGAGGCTCTGCAAACACTATTCCAGGGCCCCTGGAAATGCCCCAGGTGAGGGAGGCCACTCACCGTCCTGGAGGTGGGCGGGGCAGAGGGACTAGTGAGTGACACCATCTCCTGGATGGCCAGCCGCAGCTTGAGCCGGTGCAGGGCATTGCTGATGCCAATCTCCCGCTGGATTTCTGTGTCCGACAGGGCGGACATGATGGCACCACTCTTGACGTTGGCCCGGCAGGCTGCCACGTACCAGGCAGGCATGCCCACCCAGAGCTGCAGACGTGAGGGGCAGGGACAAGTCAACCCTTCCCCAGGAGCCTGGGCCCCAGGACAGGCCTCAGCCATGGCCTCCTCCACAGAGCAGACACAGCACTGCTAGGAGCTTAGGAAGAGAGAGGACATTTTACAGATGAAAAAGCAGAGGCCTGGGAAGGTGAAGGGATGTTCTCAGCATCACCAAGGTGATGAGCTCCTGGGGAAAACCTGTAAGAGCCAAACTGCCTGGGACCTGGGCCCCTTCCCCAGACTTAGCTGCCTGTGGGGCGTCCGTGAGCAGGAGGACCTACTACGCCCTCCGAAGTTCGTTCTAGGTGTGTCTGTGAGGGCAGACAAGGGCTTAGGGGGCACATGAGCACTTGATGGGAGAAACATGCGGGGAAGTGGCAGGGGCACCACCGCTGCCCGGGAGTCCTTGGCCCAACCCACACAATCTTCCCTCCACACCCAAGAGCAGACTCCTCCCGCCCAGGCTCACCTCCAGCCAGGAGACCACCGTGGGGCCATCCCACTGGGCAAAGGGCATCCCTCTTCTGCGGGCATCTTCCAGCAGCTGGTGTCTTATAAAGGGAGGAACAGCAGACTCACTAGCCCCTCCTTCTCTCAACGAGGCTGGCTCCTGGGGACCACTGGGCTGGGCCAAGTATGGGGACTTCCACTTCCCCAGCTCCCACCCATGGATTCCGCGGCTCTATGCTGAAGCAATGTGACACTGAGAAGTGGGCAGGACACCCCTCCCTGCCTAGAGGGTGGGGGGCTCTTCCTGTGTGCACACGACCAATGTGTACTTAGATATAGCAATGTGCTCTGCCCCACGGGCCCTGGGACACTTTCTCACAATCCCCTTGCTTCCTTCTCCTCCTAACTCAGGACATACCCTGATGTGCCCACATGGACCAGCTCAGCTCAGGAAGGCCCTTGCTGGGCTCTGGTTCCCTGAGCTCAGTCCCATGGCAGCTGAGAAGGAGAGTGGCTGAGGCCTGGGCCCCACCCTGCTGGCTCTTACTTCTTCTTCAGCCGCCGGTCCTTCTCTGCTTGGGTCCCCAGCTTAGCAGGTACCAAAGGCTCCTGCAGACTGAGCTCGGAGTCTGTTAGCAGAACTGGAAGGGAAGAGATGCCTGTGTGAGCAGGGCCCCTGCTGCTCTTCTCTTGGCCTGGGCCAGCGAGGAGGAGCAGAAGCAGCAGGAGGCTCCTCAGTGTAGTCCCTGCTGGCACCTCATGTGATTCCTACAGCCTCCTCCCAAGGTGCTGCATCCACAGTGGCACTGGGTGGGTCATCCGGAAGGTGTCCCCCTGGGAGCCTCAGCCCTGGGGGTGTTTCCAGCCAGGTGGACCAAAGTGGCCCCACCCTAGAATCTGCTCCTCCTCCAAGCCAAGGGGCAAGGCAAACCCAGAGAGCACACACAAGGGGCTTACAAGGCTCCGGGAGGATTAGCCTGGTTTGGTTCAGGGTGGGGACATCTGCACAGAGAGATGTATCTCCCAGCCTCTGTCTCTGGGTGGGCCCACTCACACAGATCGAAAGGAGGAACACATTCTGCTGTCTTCCACTGAGGAGGCCAGCATCTCAGAATCACTGATGTCCTGGCTACTCCTCAAAGCACACATGGGCAGCAGACGTGGAAGATCCAGAAGCCAGTCTGACATGCTGTCTTGGGTTTCAGTGCCAACACAGTGTGGGGCACAGGAAATCATGAGGCTTTTCACAGCATACCTCTGCCACTGCTCAGACCTTGCTGCCTTGCCATCCCTCTGCCCCCAGAGGATGGGGAGGAGGACAGGGCTCTACCTTGTTCGTGGGCCGAGACTCCCACGCCCTGGACAGGGCTACCCTGCTTCCCTCCCCTTCTTCTCCTGGCCCCTCATCCTGGTCTTCCTCCTCTTCCCCCTCCTCCTCTTCCCACCTCCTCGCTCAGCTCAGCGAACTCTATTCCAATTTGCACCTTCCCAAGGTACAGAAAAGTTTAATTATGCGCTTGGGTTCAAAGGTTTCCTTTCTTCTAGTTAATGGAGCTCCTCCCCAACAAGAAACTCATCATTGTTCCCATTGCCTCAGGAACTTCTAAGCTTCTCCCTCAGGTTCAGAAGCTGGCATCCCTCTCCCCCTTCCACCTATCCTCCTACTTCACTTTGAACACAGAAAACAGCAAACAAAGCCCTCTCGCCCACACATCTTCTGCTTCTCAGAGTGAACCCCTCCTGTACACACAGGCCCTTCCATTCTCCCTCCAGCTCCAGCTCAGGTCGCCCACAGAGGATCCCCTTCCGGTGGCCTCCACCACCCCACAGCCAGTCCTCAGCCCTGGAAGCACCCTGGGCATATCTCCACTGTACTGTTTTGGAAGCATCTCTTTATGTTTTCCTTTTCATTAGATACTAAGATCCTTAAGGAATGAGCTGTCTCTCCAACGCCTCGTACTACGCCACACAGGAGGTACTGAATAAAGTGTTTGAACAAATGCCTAAATAGGTAATGGAAAGAAAAGGAGGCAGGGAAAAGAAGAAAGGAAAGATGAAATGGGGGAGAGGAAGGAAGAAGGTGAACACTCACTGTGTACCTCCCCCATAAGCAGGACCTAGAGCTTATGCCACAGAGCTGACGACAGTGCCACTCTGCCCAAGCGTTCTCTTGAACTGAGCATCTGCAAAGCCATCATATTCTGAGTACCAGAAGGAAATTCTACCCAAGAACTGACTCATTCAAAGACAGAACTAAGAAATTTCTCCTGAAGGTGCTGCACAGTACACCAGAGAACCTTTAAACTGGAGGAAACCACAGCGGTCGGAGCTGTCCCTCCACCCGGGAATCCCTGCTACAGCAGGCTAAGTGAGTGGCCTTTGGACGCAGCCTCACACCAGAAGTGCAGGTGCCGGCCCCTCCCGAGGCCACCCTTCCCACTGGGAAATGGCTAACAGAAAACTGGGATGCTCTGGAGCTGGAATCTGCCTGCCTGCAGCTTCCACCTACCAGCCCTAGGAAGGCAGCAGAGGAGGCCAGGCCCAGGATACCCTTCTGCTTCTGACTCCCCAAACCACACCCAGCCCTCCGGTGTGAAGGGGCAGAGACCATGGCCTGTGGCTCCATCCCGACTCAGCTGGATCAGCCTGCCCTTCTCCTTCTTCCCAAACAGGCGGCCAATGGACGACTTGATGCCCTTGCGCTTGGTGCCCTTGTGCAGGGAGTCTTGGCTGCTGTTGCTGCTGCTGGGGTTGCTGCCTTGATCTTCCAAGGCGCTAGAGGATGACAGCCAGGAGGAGGCAGAGTGAGAAGAAGCACACGTAAATTACAGCAGGCGGGAGGACTCAGAGCTCGAGAAAACTGAAGCATCAGTGCCAAGGTTAGGGCGGGCAAGGGAAGGTGGCCAGAGGAAGAGGGAAGGATGCTACGGCCCTGGGGACAGAGCTGGGCGCTGGGCCTCCTCTACTCACCCCTTGCCTTCCTCCTGGCTCAGGGCTGGGTGGCCAAGCTTCTGTAGCCGCAGCGTCCTGGGTGAGGAAGGAGGAGAAGTCTCACATTTTATGGTGGCTTTATCCTCTCGGTTCTCTTCCCGAGACACTGGCGACTGAACAGACAGTGGAGCCGTCAGGGGGTAGAGGGTAAGGTCGGAGGCTCGCCTACCCAGCCCGGACGTGGCAGAGGAGCAAGAAAATCGAGCAACTGTCAGGAGGCCCTGTGGCCTTCTCAAGTTCAGACTCAGACACAGAGCCCCGGGGGCAGCGCCATGGGGACGGGTCTGGGAACAATTCCCCATTCGGACCTGGATCACCAGGCAACACTCACCAGCAGCTTCCTCCTATGCTTTCTTAAGTCACTGGGCTGGAAGAGAGAGGAAACGGTGAGCTGGGGGAAGCCTCCGCCGCCCTAAACCAACCCCAGGAGGAGCCCACTGGTCTCGGGATGAGAAGAGAGTATTCGGTCTCATGGGCCTGGAGAGAACGTCACAGCAGAAAAAGCTGGCCTGGAAAATGCAGTCAAGGCTACCTCTGGAAGCGAGGAGCAGTGTGGGCAGTAGGCGAGGTTCTTAGGCGTTCCGTGCTTATCCAAGGGCAAGGTTTCAGGAAAGCCCTTTCTTACCCGGGATATCACAGGTGGGAGGAAGGTGGGGCCCAACTCAGAGCAAACCCTGCTTAGCAGCTGCCCAAAGGCTCTCACCAAGGTCATGACCCCCATTCGGTCCAGGTCCTGGGCAGCACTGCGGGAAGCGAGCTTCGGCGTGGAGCGGCCACTGAGGGGAGGAGACGCACTGGCCAGCGAGAGGGCGGTCAGAGAGGTGGGGATGGAACCGCGCTTGCGCAGCTGCGTCAGGTTTAGGGCCTCCATGCTGCCGCTGGTCACGCGCGTCTCGATCTCCTCCGCGCGGAGCTCCGTGGACTCCTTTTCTTCCTGGATCATCCTGAGAGGCAGGCAGAACCAGGCCTGGCCATTAGCCCAGCAAGGAGCAGCACTCGCTACCCTAGGGCCACACACAAGGCAAGGCCTAGG